AAACTGTACTAACATAGTATAATATCACAAAAATTGTAGGAAATATTAAAAATCTGCAAATAACAGGATTATTTCTATTATATTCCAAAATATTTTTTTTATCTGGCTCTATTTTTGTTCATCAGTTTATGTTGTTGATTATATTTCACAAATGAGTGAGATCATGTGATATTTGTCTTTCTCCAACTGGCTTATTTTGCTTAGCATAATGCTCTCCAGGTCCATCCATGCTGTTGCAAATGGTAAAATTTTTATTTTTATTTTTTTTACATCAAATATATTTTCTGAATCTACCTCTTTCTTTTCTCCTCTTGAGATTCCAATGATATGAATATTAAATTAACAAGCCCCTAAGGTTGTGTTGTTTTCTTTCTGTTATTTTTATTGTGTAATTTCTATTGATCTATCTTTTTTAAAAAATATATCTTATTGATATTTTACAGAGAGGAAGGGAGAGGGATAAAGAGTTAGAAACATCCATGAGAGAGAAACATCCATCAGCTGCCTCCTGCACACCCCCTACTGGGGATGTGCCCACAACCAAGGTACATGCCCTTGACCAGAATCGAACCTGGGACTCTTCAGTCCACAGGCCGACGCTCTAGCCACTGAGCAAAACTGGCCAGGGCTATTGATCTATCTTGAAGTTCTCTTTCCTCTGTCATTTCCATTCTGCTATTGAGCTCATCTGGTGAACTGTTAATTTCAGATATTATGTCTTACGGATTAAAAATTTTCATTTTACTTTTTCTTTAAAAATTATCTTCCTCTGCTGACAACTTTTACCTTTTCCATTTATTTCAAGAATGTTCATCTTTACCTCATAGTTATAGTGTTTTATATTCTGGTCTGGAAATTCCAATTGGAGTAATATTGAAGTTGGCATCTGTTGATTTTCTCTTCTCCTGAGTATTGGTCAGACTTTCCTCATTCTTTCTGCATTAGGTAATTTTGGGTTGTATCCAGAATATTTTGAACATTATGTTATGAGATTCCAGATTCTGTCAAAATCCCCTAGAGCATATTGATTTATTTTTTGTTTGCTTGTGCTAGCAGGTAATGTGTCTCACCTTCTGTGATACCAATGTCAATTCCGTTTTCAAGCCTTTGTTATGCTACTTGAATCTATCTGCAGCATGTTACACCCAGAGTTCAGTCTGGAACTTTAGTAATTCAGTT